GTTTCATGAAGAAATATGGCCTTCAGCGTCAAGCCTGTAGAATCCTTTCTACGACTGCAAAAACATTTCACTAGGGCATCCGAAGAAAAACAAACTACAGCTACCAAGAGAGCCGTTACTGAGGAATTGAAAGAAATTGTGGAAGACTTCTATGAACAGGAGTCAGTGCAACTACCTGACAAAAAACTAAACTTCTGCCACCATCCATCCAATCATCTGCTGATATCAGTGTCCAGTGTGCACAGAGGCAATGCAAAAGTCTCTTGTCTTCATCAGTTCCGACACCACTCATGACTACCATGCCGTACATGGTTTTGTTGAAGAGGCTGTAAAGCATCTACAAGAGAAACTGGATGTGACCGGGATCATCAGATTTTCTGACGGAGCATCAAGTCAATACAAAAGTAGAGGGCCATTCTTGGATATTGCTATGGCGGCGTATGATTTCAGAGATATTGAAATGGAGCACCATTATTTCGGTTCAAGGCATGGCAAAGGTCTACTAGCTACTAATGCTGTTTAAGCAGGAACAGCAGTCATCCAAAATGCTTCTGACCTGGCCGACTTTCCAAAGAAACTGAATAAAATACCAGAATATGGGCAATGCCTACATTTTCAGCAAACAGTGTTTATGGTAGAAAAGATTGATCGAGATAGGGGTCATGACAGTATTGGGCTCAGGACTGTCAAAGGGACCAGGAAGGTACACAGCGTCAAAGGAGCTACCTGCATCGGGAAAGTAAAGATATGAGACCAATCCTGTTTCTGCAGTTCATGTTTTAGTGGAGACCATTCATCTTGCCACAACAAGGATTATGTCGAGGACTAGAAGGAAGTGGATCTGTTAACCAGGCCAAAGACTTGCTAACAGACAGGTACGTTGCTATCAAGCTTTTTTCCCCTAAGGCGTAAACTCGCCTGACCCTCAAATTATGCATAATGAAACTTCATAGTTGCATTTAATCAAACCAAAACAGCAGTGTCTCAAGTAAGGATTTTACATGCATTGCATTTTGTTTTCAGAAAAAGAGACCAGTCTACAACCAGCGACACATACTCACCATAAACCAGAACAGGACCAGATGAACACTGACAACAGTGAATACATGAATCTTCAAGGTAGGCCTATTTAAATCACTCATGAAACACTTGTGTCCTGCAAGAATCACTTGTGAAGACAGTGTTCTTTAGAGAAAGCAAAGAAAATAATGACTTTTTGTTAATTAATAGGACTATTATCATTGGGAAGTGAAGTCACAACTAAATGCATGGACTTCAGAAAGTAAAGTGGGCTCCACTATTGTGCTACATATTACTTGTGTTACATGTTTCAATTCTTTGTTACTATTATGTTTTCTTCAGATAGTTAGACCAGCACCATTGTTGGGGATGATGAACCAGCAGAGGGCCAGGATTTCACAGACAGCAGCGAGCACTGTGGTCAGAAGAAGCCTGAGGAAGACAAGTCTAAAGGTA